CCCCGCCGCTCCCCGCAGGCCTGTGCGGCGGCAGCGCCTCAGGCAAGACCACGGTGGCGACGCGGATCATCGAGGCGCTGGACGTGCCCTGGGTCGTGCTGCTCTCCATGGACTCCTTCTACAAGGTGCGGGACGGGGGGCCCGGGGGTCCGGCACAGCGCTGAGCGGTGCCGACAGTCGCGGTTCCGGCGTACTGCTGAGTGGTGCTGATGCTCGTGGGTCCAGGGATCCGGTGCGACACTGAGCCGTGCTGGTGCCCGTGGATGCCAGGATCCGGCGCAGTGCTGAGTGGTGCTGGTGCCCCGGGCATCCGGCACGGCGCTGAGCACTGCCGGTGCCTGCAGGTGCTGGATGAGGGGCAGCAGGCGCTGGCAGCCCGCAGCGACTACAACTTCGACCACCCCGATGCCTTTGACTTTGAGCTGCTCGTCAGCGTCCTGCGCAAGCTCAAGAAGGGCAAGAGCGTGAAGGTGCCGGTGTACGACTTCACCACTCACAGCCGGCGCCGCGAGTGGGTGGGTGCCACAGGGGCCACGCTGGGCCAGGGTGGCAGAGTCCCGGGAAGGGGAATCACCTCTGGTGCTGCAGGGCCTGGAAGGCTAAAGGGATGGGGCGGCTTGGGGAGCCGTCATTCTGGGAGTCATTCTGGGGAGACTGTGGGTGGATCTGCAAACAGGCCAGCACAGACATGAGGGAGGGACTCAGTGTGGAGGGGTGCTGGGGCAGATGACATTGAGCAGAGGCTTGGATTCTGGAGCAAGGTTCAGGGTCTGTCCTGGGCTGGAGCATCATGCATAGGGATGAACTAGGGCTCCAAGACAGCGGGTGCTGCAGGACATCTATAGGGAGCCCCAACACAGTGGTGAAAACCCGGGGACATCAGTGCCCTGTCTCTGTCAGTGTTGGTGCTGCCATGGCATGTGAGAGAAACAGGACAACCCCAGCTTCTGTTTGCCTGCAGAAAACAGTGTATGGGGCCAATGTCATCGTGTTCGAAGGGATCCTGGCCTTCGCCAACAAGGAGCTGCTCAAGGTATCGCTGCCTCAGGTGGCTGCTGGCCTGGGAGGGGATGTGTGCCTGCAGCAGCACAGGCACTGGCCCACTGCAGCAGTGGGGGCTGTGGAGAGAAAGGCCACCCCACTTGCTGGCAGAGCACTGTGTGTCAGAGTGTCAGGGGAGGTGATGCTGGGTGCCATTGCTGGGTGGTGGAGGGGAGTAACACAGGTATGATGAGAGCTGCATAGGGGGTGCTCACCCCTCCCAGTTTTCCAGCTTCTGGACATGAAAGTGTTTGTGGACACGGACTCTGACATCCGTCTGGTGCGGCGGCTGCAGCGCGACATCATGGAGCGTGGGCGTGATGTTGCAGGGGTCATCAAGCAGTACAACAAGTTTGTGAAGCCGGCCTTCGAGCAGTACATCGAGCCCACCGTGCAGGTTGCTGACATCGTGGTGCCCAGGGGTGAGGCCAGAGCTGACCCTGGCATTGGGAGTGGGTGATCTGGGGCAGGGGTAGGTCAGCGTCCGCTCCACCTGGCTCTTCTGCTCCACTCTCAGGTGGGGAAAACTTTGTGGCACTGGACCTCATTGTGCAGCATGTGCACAGCCAGCTGGAGAAGGTGAGCCAGGGCTGAGGAAGAGAAGGGTCCTGCATGCATGCAGAGGGCAGGATGTGGCTACACACAGACCTGTGCTCCTGGAGCACCTGGAGGGGGTCTTGACATCACCTCTTGCTTCTCAAAAGGCCCTGGCATGGTGCTTGGGGGAGCAGATCTCTGAAGTGGGCACTGGGGAGGAGGGTGGGGTGCCCCCTGGGCTGTTGTGATGGCTGTGCTGGCCTGTGAGTGACTGACAGGGTGTCCTTCCTGTTCCCTCGTGCTGCTCCGATGACCTCTCCACCATCCAGCGGGAGATTACAGTCAGGTACGTGGGACCCACCACTGCAGAGGAGCCAGTTCTGCGTTTGGGGGGGGCTGCTGGCACCCACTGCATTCCAAGTCTTGCTGCCTTCCTGTCCCTGCTGGTAGAGCTTTGCTGAGGTGCCTGAGCATAGCTGCTCCTCCCCAGGGCTGCAATGGCTGTTGCCAGCTCCTTGGGGTCTATCTGGCTGCAGCTGTGGGCTTTGTGTGACACATCCCACACTGTGGCTGATGGAGGTGGCCAGCTCCCTGCCCTGGTCCTGTTCCTTTCTGAAGCAGGGCTCGTGTCCTGATTGCTTCACTTCTGCAGGAGAAGTGCCCTGCATGGTCCCTGTTCCTGGCAGTTCATGTCCC